GGAGAGAGGGAGAGAGAGAGGGAGAGGGAGAGGGAGAGAGGGTGTAGGGAGCACGCATCAAGATGTTCGTCGCAAGGGTGCGTAGGGCGTGTAGTAGTTTGTCGAGTAGTACCAGCACTTCGTCGTGTAGGCAGTCTAACGGCCTGCAACGCTTTCCCGCGCCGCAACGGTCTGAAATGCCCTACCGGTTCCCCAAGCAGCATGCGGCTATCCGGGCCGTTCAAGGTCAGATGACTCGGATTGGCCCGCGATCTTAAAGTCTTAAGACCGCGGGGCGATCTGGGCCGTCTGGCCAGTAAACCCAAACGGCCTGCATCGTCGCGCGATCGTAAAACTTTAAGATCGGGGACGAAGTTAGAGGTTCGGGGCCAAATCCGGGCCGTCGGGCCTGCAGGTCCACAGACGGCCCGGATATAAGAATTCTCACATTAGCGATTTTTATATGTGCAGGAATTTTTTAGAACCTTCTTGTTTTCTTTTTTTTTTTTTTTGCTGGGACCTTCCCTGGTCCTTGCACGGGCTGGCCACCAGCGACCCAGGCGGCCCGGCTGGTAGCCTAGCCCAGAGTTGATTTCTCAACTTATGGGCCTCGCTGAACTACTCGTGACATGCACAAAAAACAAAAATCATGGCAGTGCAGCGAGGCCCTATGTGCCTTTCCTTTTTTTGTTTTTTTAGACATCATTACACCCTGAAACGGAGGAACTCTGACAGCTGTGTTTGGCTCTCTCGCATGAAACTCTTCCTTCTTTTGGGAATGGACGCATCTGGCCATCGATGTTGTCCGTCCATTTTACAAATGGCGACCTCCTGTCGCCTCACCGCAGGAAGTATCTTTCTCCACGGAGACATTCACTCCGACTATGCGAGACGCGTTTCATTTCTCCGAATTACGTAATAAAAAATAAGGCGAGAAGCTGTTTCTAGCGTTTTTTTACCAGTTCTTTTTTTTTCTTCTTGTTTCGAATTTAGAACCTCCACCAGTGTTGGAAAATTACGATGTTTTGCCAGTTCCCGAAGTTATCGGGGGTGGGACACAGAGGGTCGGCACTGTCCCATAGATCAGATTTTCATATCGCCCGCGAGTGAAAGAAAAACGAAAAAAAGAAAATACCATCTCTACTGCAATGATGTCGGGCAGGGTAGTCTTGGAGGCCGTGCTCAGAGTCTTCCTCCACAGAATGCACCTCACCAGCAAAGCTGTCACATTCTGAATGTTAGTGTTTTCTTTTTTTTCTTGCTCGTGTGTTTCTTATAAGTCCCTTGCCGATGAATGAGGCAGGGGGGAATCCGTGAATTGCTCAAGCCGTCCGTGATCTGCTGCTCAAGCTGTGTATTGTCAGATGATTGTAGCACTTGTCACACTGGTACTAAGGTGAATGTATCTAGCCATTTTGACGGACGGATCCGTGTGCCCATTTCTTTCTCCCTTCTGTTCTCTTTTTCGAATCTGACAACCTGGCCACGGGGCTGAGAAGCCCTCACTGAGGGCACACTGCCACTGCCACTTCCAAGAATGTATACAACTGCAATCACGGCCAAAGCTTTGTTTCGTTTTTTTCTTTTTCTTTTTTTCTGAGTTCACGGCCGCAACTTTTTTTTTTTTTTTTTTTGGTTCTTTCTGTGAGAGTACCAGAAAGAAAACGGAGTGGTACCCAGGCTCGGCAAACTCGGAGCGCAGTGAAATTCAGGCTCGGCAAAAACAGGCTCGGAGGTACTACCTTCTTTCCCAAACATAATGCACCCTCATTTTGGCTGTATCTGGCCAGAAATCTAGCTCGTATACATTCATTTTTCGGGTGCGTTATGTTCCGGGGAAGACGGTAATGGTTTAATGTCAAAATGGCATCACACGGTTGCATTTTCAAATCTTAAACTTCGCTGGTGGGACTTCACCACGGGCCTGCTCGAATCTTGCTCGAGCGGTTTCGAGCGCGGGATTGAGCAGCGCTCAAAAAATTTGAGCTCCGACCCCGCGAGGTCAATCGGCGCGCGGCAACGCAGAACCTGGTCACATTACGTATGACCATATTGACAGAGCACGAACCCATCCAAAGAGACTTCTTCGACCGTCCGCAATATGAACAACCTGAGCAGACAACATATGCCTATAGAACAAGACGGCCAGCACCTACGAGTGTTTGATCAGCTTCACCAGGTTCCGGTCCCGTTTCGATGAAACCTTAGGCCACAGTGCAAGTCGCACAGATCGACCACAACACAACCATTAAAATAAAAAACTGAACGGGACGTGGACGAGCCTCGTCGTTGCCATCCTTTGCCGGATGGATATCAAGTAGACACGGAGGGGACAACAAGATGAGAGGCAAGTGCAGAGAGAGACAGAATCCGCTGTGCCAGCAAATGTCACCCCCCTACACAACCGGCAGGTCCCAGCTTTCCTGCTTTCCTAGCATGAACATAGCATTATTAGTGGGGCCTGCAGCAAAAGTGCAGAGTTGTTTCTCCCATTGCTACTTTGAACCGATGATAAGTAGCAGCCAGCACCACCGCTTTGTTTATATTTCCAGAGACCAATCAAACCGATGATAAGTAGCAGGCAGCACCACCGCTTTGTTTATATTTCCAGAGATCAATCAGGTTGTAGCGATGGCCGTTCTAATGCACAATATAGGACCGATAAGACCGGAACCTAAACTCGACAAAAAGTTTCGCTCACTGTCCAGTAATTAGGCTGTAGCATTTCGTCTCTGACCCTCAATTTTCTCTAGGGGTTGCTTCTCCGTACCTTTTGTCAGGACCTTGCGGGGTAGAAATCAGCCAAGACGAACAGAGTTCGACAGACTACTTCCTCCCTCCTTGTGGTTCTTTGCCCGACACCTTACCTTTCTACCTGAGGTTTCAGAATCCCCTTCCAGTTGATTTCTGCATTTCATTGCCAGACCGATTCAAGAACAAAAGGACAAAATCAATGTCGCAGCATATTTACATCTCCGCGTAGCCACTCACACCCCCATGCAGCCACCCAAGCAGAAACGTTTTCTGCATAGAGTAGTTAGTTCGGCTCACATTTTTACCCTAACACGGATGCAAGAGGTCGATGAAATTTTGGGCGCGTGCGAGAAAACTTGCCATATAGGAGGGGAGAATGAGGGAGATCGAAGAAATTTGATGGTGTGCGACAGAACTCGAACTACGTGAGTGAGAAAACTTGCGCGGGGTGAAAGAAATTTGGCGGTGTGCAAGCGAGCTTGTGGGGTACACGGAGGACAGGGGGGGATTGACGAAGCAGAGAGTCCAAAGAAACACAATATTTTACAGCATTATGGATACCCCCAACAAGAGCACTGGCCTAAGTCTTTCGGACTCTTTCCACTTCCACCCACCAACCCCTTTCCTTTGCCACATGAAAACTCCAATATGCTGTCCTCATAAAACCTATACTAAGGAAAAAGAAAAAAAAAAAACCTATGCACTGCCATGATAACCCTATCCATCCCCTGTCCTGCCACAAAAGTGCCACAAAAGTACTGCAGATGTAGGAGAGGCCCTCTGTCTCTCCGGTTCAAATGGACATAAACTCGGTTCGGCACACACATTACAAAAGACCTTGCACCGAACAACATGAAGCTTCCAAGGGAGGCTGAAGCTAGATGACAGGCCACCAAGTTTCACTGACTGACATCTTAAGATTCAAGTGTAGTCCACAGTTACCCGTACCATGAGCACGGATCGATTGAGAGGAGGAGGAAGTGATTGGAGGCAAAATGGAAAGCACTACCACAAAGACAATTCAAAGAAAATGCTCTACTTTTTCCTCGATCCTCCAGCACCCTCCTCAATTGGTCCCACAACTGCAAGTCCCACAAAAGCGACCACTCTATACAGGCACCATACACGCATACACCAAGTGCTGACAGTACCTCCTAGTCAGAAGCATGGGAAGGAGAAGACTCAGATTTGGAATCGGTAGATGCTGACCTCTTACCTCGCCGAGGCTGTCCCTTAGCCTTTGAAGTCTCAGGGGAGCGTGGACTGGCGTCCCCATAGTTAACGAGCCTCTGACGACCAGCAGGGAGTTCAGATGGGGAAGCGGAGCGGGACCTACCTGGAGAGATTGACGGACTCCTGGACGTCGACGGCGATTTCCCTCGACCACGTCGTGTTCGTTTTCGTTCCATTGCCCCCTCACCCTCCGCAGACTGCCCATTCCTCTCCCCCTTGCCTCTTGCTTGCATTGTACCCCTGTCAGGATTGACCTCGCTTTCACGTGCGCGAGAGCTCGGTCGACCTCGAGTCCCTTCTGAAGCCAGAGAACGAGCAGTGGGTGCTGAGGGAGATGGACGTCCACTGCCACTGCCCCCACGACCACGCATCTGATCCTTACTCGGACTCCTGCTCCTTGAGCGCCAGTTTCTGCCTCGGCCAGGACTTGCACTGCGGCTCCTGCTATGGTCGCGGTAATAACCTCTTCCCCTCCGAGGGCTTCTGCTTCTTGTCCTGCTCCGGCTGCGACTGCGGCTTCTATTCCTGTGCCATGGCGGGCTTCTCCAGCCCGGGCTCCGCCGCCTGACGGGACTCCTGCCTCGGGGAGGGCTCCTGTACCGCTGCCGCACGGGGCTCCGTCCTCGGTACCTGTTGTATCCACCGTACCCATAGCCACCTCCACCCATGCCTGAACTATATCTTCCTCGGTCCCGATACCTCGGTTCAGGTTCCGCAACCCCTCCGCTCCCATACCTGAATCCCCTCGGAGGCGGCGGGGTACGATACCTTCTCACATACGAATACCTCTCACTGAAACCACGCCCCTTCCTCACCCGCTGTGGTGAAGCGCTCCTGCTCTGCCCTCTTGCTGGACTCCTGCTCTTGCTCTTGCTTTTGCTCTTGCTCTTGCTCTTGCTCTTGCTCTTGCTCCTGCTTGGGCTTGGACTGATGCTCCGACTTCTTTCAACTGGAGGACTTGGTGGTGGTTCACGTAGAGGAGACCTGCGGCGGACGGGGCTTGGCCTTTGGCTTGCAGGTAGACTGGGGCTCCTGCTCACCATTGGGCTGGGACTACGGCTCACACTCCGGCTCTTGGATGGAGAGGGACTTTTCACCTTAGGAGGAGGAGCCTTCACTCGATGGCCATCGCCAGCGTCAACTGCTTTTGCTTTCTTTGGTTCCTTCTCCACACTGCTGATAATCATATCCTCATCTGCAGGTTTCCTTGTCTTTCGCCTTTTCTCGTCTGGGCTCTTCTTCTTCCCCTTCGATCTCCTCACTTTCCTGGATGGGGGTGGAGAATCTTCTGAGCAGAAACGACACCCCAAAGGCACAAACAAGATCGGCACATCAATCACAGGCGGTATTATATTATCGAGTTTAGCGACAACCAGCATACGAACGAGAAATTACGCCATTCTTACCCTACTGTATAGCTTTCCTTAACAACACAGTTGGCCACCACATGCTCAGATCAATGCCATTCAATGCCAATGTTTCCAGATGCTACTCTTTATTTCACTCCTTTCATTTATACTCTTAGTGTGATTGCTATAATATATACTTCCTTAACTACATTAAGACAAATCGATCTGAAAAAGATCATTGCATATTCTTCAGTAGCTCACATGAATTTTGTCACTATTTAACCAAACATCCTTGGCTGAATGATGGGCGCCAGCACATGCTTAACCAACTTCTACTCCCCTTCTGCAGGGTAGTTATATTCCACACACTGCAATGTCTAACGCATGTCTGATGTTTGGGACCAGGATAAGCCCAGCCCACTTGTCTGTCACCCAGGCCACATACAAGGAACAAAAGCATCAAAGCCGGGGGGGCTCATCGCCAAACACATACAGGAAGTGGGCAGGCAGTGAGCGCGGAGTCTTAATGAGGAAAGGGCAGGTTCACATGCGAGTTGGGAGGGCATCAAGGATTCAGATGGGAAGGGAACAAGGCTCATGTCAGTCCCACGGGGACAGGTGGACTGTTGCAATGTTCCGATGGGACTGATGGTGGGCTTTCGCAACAAGCTATATGTTCGCATTCCAAAAGTCGTTGAGAAAGGTTCATGCTATATATTTGCATCCTAGTAGTAATAGAGAAAGGTTCAAATGGGAGAAGAATGCTTGGATGGGGGGAATAAGATTCGCATCCATACTAGGAGAGAGACGAGTTTTGGATCCATGGACAAGGAGGTTGAGGAGGGCGTTTGGAACCGATGGTCTTCCTTTTTTCCATCTTTCCAATGGTGCGTTCTGAGATGAGACAAGGGAGGTGCACGGTTCATATCTGTTCTCCCTCTTCTTATAGGAGGATCAGGGAGGAGAGGGAAGAGAGAGAGATGAGCACGTAACGCCAAGTTTGAGCTAGGAGACACTCATGGGGCGCAGAGGTTCAGATGGGTCGAGGGAAGGAAGGGCTTGTGTGAAGACACGGAGAACGAGGTGGATGGAACAGAGGGAGCGAACAACTCAGATAAAACGGATTGACAGAGGAGAGGGAGGGTGTCCTTATGATATCAAGTTTGCGAGAGATGAGGAAGTCAGAACAGCATGGGACGCAGAGGGTCAGACGGGTCGAGGAAAGAAAGGACGCGTGTAAACATGGAGGAGGTGTTGATGGAATTGAAGGTGGGAACAACTCAAATTGAATGGAATGGGGGAGGAGAAGGAGGGTGTGGGAGAGGGTTCGTAGCAGATGAGGACAAGTTACTATGATAGTACTAGAACGAGACGGTACTCCTGGGTATACGAGAGAAAAGACATACTAGAATGCAAAAGGTAAATTAGAACAGCCAAGAACAAAGAGATTCACATGGGAGGGGAGGAGGAGGTGACGGGGTTGGAAGCAAACGAGACGGTACTCCTGTGTATGATATTAGGTTTACGAGAGATGAGGAAGACAGCCTAGAACAAAGACCTTCACATAAGAAGAGAGGAGCCGGAGGTAACGGGGTTGGATGCAAAAGAGAGTACTCCCATGGGGCAGGGAAAACGTCAATCGGAGAAAGCTTCGCAGTGGATGGGAATGGAATGCATGCAGCATTTGAGTGGGCGGAAGAATTCCGACAAGAGGGTTCAGATTTCACGGAGTAGGGGAAGCTAGCCGAGGCAGCCTTGCAGGGAAAACCGGTGCAGTAATGAAAACGTCGACAAGGGGGCAATTGAAGGTGATAGCCAAAGGTAAAATCAACACGCGAGAGGAGGCAGCGAAATCGCTAAACGCCAGGTCAAGAATCAGGAGCTGTAAATGCTTCCCTCTGTGAAAACTCGTGTTTTGGACGGCAATGCCCTGAACAGAAATGTGGCAAACGGTGTAGAGGAAAAGGGCAGAAGAGGACTCTTAGCCCTCTGCTGCCAAAAAGGGGGATCAAAACGGTGATCTCCAAAACTGCGCATGAATTGGGGGAAGGAGAGCAGAAAAAGTTAAGTGGCGGAGACAGAGGAGGTGAGAGAAAGGAGGGGGGGCGCACACAAGTGGGGGCACCGATTGTTAGGCCTCTGCTGTCAAAAAGAGGGATGAAAACGTTGATCTCAACAAATGCAGATGAATTAGGGGAAGGAGAGCAGAAAAAGTAAGTGGTATGCGAACGGAGGAGACAAAAAGGTGGTGAGAGGGAGGGTGCAGAAGTGGGAGAAGGGCGCTTGTGGACATTGTGAGGGTGGTCGTGCAGTGGCGGTACGCGTCATGAAGGAGGCACTCCACGGGAACTACTCCAGGAGAACGATGTGAGAAAAAGCCTGGAGGTTGTTCTTTTCTTTTTCTTGTTTTTATTTAAACTGATCAGAACAGATACTACACTTGATCTTGGCAAAGCAGCAGGGTTGCACCGGCGCTGACCGCTGACCCCGCCGACCAGTCAGAAAACAACCATCCACTGATTTTTTTTCAAATCTGAGTTGGGGGCTGTACTGCGCTCGCTGAGTACAGCCCAAATCCGCTGAGAAACTTTGGGGGTGGGGGGTTGGCGTGGGAGTATACGGGTGGTGTAGAGGGGGTATAGGGGTTTATAGAGCAGGTATAGGGGTTATTGGGGGCGGGGGAATGAGGGTTTTGGGGGCGGTTTGGGGGTGTACGGCTGTATTGGGGGCCGTTATGGGGGTGTTGGTGGTGTTATTCGGGGTTCTGGACCCCAAAGGTGCCGACGACCCCCGACCGGTAGGTGCTGACCAGCCGACCGGTCGGCGGGTCGGCAGCCGACTAGTCAAGGGCCGCCGACCGTCGGTGTGTGCAACACTGCAAAGCAGATTAAAAAAAAAAGGGTGAGATGGCAGAACGGGTTAATTCGAATAGCATGGAAACACAGAAGCACAGGAACAGAGTGAAGGGGAAAGAGGAGGGCTATAGAAGTGGGAGCTCGTGAGGAGATTGTCATCAAGTAAAGCACCTAAGGGGATGCACTGCATCCCAAGAACCCAAACCAACAGCACATACAGTTCACATCGCACCTCGCACACAACATGGCCAACGTAGTCGATGTACAAGCAAAAACCCACTTACCATCACTGCTCGCGTCTGACGAGTCGTCATAGCTGCTAGATTCCGAGTCTTTCTCACTACTCTCACTGGAGCTGTCCTCACTTTCAGAGCTCCTGTACAAAATATGGTATATGAGATGAAGTTACAAGTCAGAACAAATGAGCGGGAGCACATAATGGCTTCCTTCGGCCGCCTGGGCTAGCGAAAGTCCAGGATGTCGACAAACATTGTATAAGATCCGCAAGATCAAGGGATGAGAGAGTATAATAACCCCAGAAAACATACCAAGAATTGCTTAGTCACCTGCCCCCCAATCAGCGGCTGGGTAACCAACTACCATACGATCAGTATCCGCCTGTTCGGATCGGAGGTAGTGGTGGTTTAACCGTCGCCTTTCCAAATCTTCTTTTGCCTGTTGCCTACCCCGACATCCATTTCCTTCCTGCATACCCCTTTGTTTCCCACCCTCCCTTTTCCGCGTAACACCTATACAAAGTAAAGTGTCCCCCCTCTCACTTATCCAGAACTTTCTGATTTATGGGCATTAATCCATGTAGCCTAGGGCAGGAAATTGAGGATCCCAGGCCAGCGGCATCTCAACCCTGAACACCACCATTTCTTCCATCCGTCCTCGCCTGAGATGAACTCGGAACTAGACGATACAAAAGTACGGAGCTCCTGTGGTACACAACAAGGGCAAAAAACACACGAACACTTTCGAAGGTGCACCTGACCGATTCTCCAGTCATATCCAGTCAAAAAAAAAAAATTGAGTACGCCCTATGAGAGCACAGCATGATGACTTAACAGACCATTGTCACTTCATGGTCTATATGATCTTAATGAGACAGACATACACATCATTCCACAGCTTCGTACTTTTAGAAATATGGTCCCACAAAAAAAAACAGAAAAGAACTCTTACGGTCCTTCGGGACATCCGTTAATACAGAGAAGATTAGCATGGCCACTGCACAAGGATGACACGCATAAATCGAGAAATAGTCCAAAAAAAGAAAAAAGAAAAAAAGAAAAAAAAAGAAAAAAAAAGAAAAGAACTCTTACCATTTGGCCTTCCTTCGCTTTGAGCGCTTGCTGCTTTTTTTATCTTTCTTCTTCGTCTTTTCCTTGCTCTTCCTCCTTCTGTCCCGCCTTTTATCCTTCTTCGACGACGACTTCCTTTTCTTCTTCCTCCTTTCATTGTCACTCGAGTCTTCGGATTCTGAGGCTTTCACTGCACAAACAACACCACATTCATGCATACCATGAAGTTCAGGTGACCGAATCGACTCGCAGAATCTCATCGATACCCTCCGCACTACCGTCTTCCCCCGAACACAACGCACTGTTATTTTGGCTGCATCTGGCCGGAAATATAGCTCGTATACATTCATTTTAAGGGTGCGTTATGTTCGGGGAAAGACGGTAGCGCTGTCCGGACGAGGAAAAGAGACCAAAGCAAAAACAGTCAGTTACCAAAAACGACCACTCAGACAAAAAAACAACTCCTGGTGACCTGGAACACTTCTGCAGTCACTGACATCCTCTGATTCCATTGCTGCTGCTTCTCTAACCATAGCATAAAAAATGCAAGAAATATGAATCGACTTCATAACAGCATAACAGACTCGTTCGCCCACTCAACTGGGTGATAGCCTCCATCGACTCAATCGTCTTACCAGCCTTAGCGGCGCCGTTGTCTTTGTCTTTTGTGACCTCTTTAGGGGGAAGCAGTTCACCGCAATCTGCAATGACGATCGGGGTCGACGGCTTATCTCTGAATCCCGTATCTTGCTTCTCGATCGTTTTCAGGACGTCCATACCCTCCAACACTTTTCCAAACACAACATGCTTCCTGGCAATGCACAAAACGACATGGGACATCGAAAGAAAAAAAGACGAACAAAACAAAAACTGTTAGAGTCCCCGAGAAGACCGACATCTCCATTTCTCTAGACGGACATGTGCCGCTATCGATGTCACTCGCTCGCCCGATTTTTAAGAGGATGTATGTGAATGACTAAGTTTAGTATATACGCTTTGGGTCCTTGTAGGGTTGCTACTGGTTTAAACCGCAATCAACCCTCCAATCGGACCAAGACCGAACCACACATCCATTTTCTAGAGGACGCGCCGCTATTGACCTCTCTTGGGTTTAGGGTTTAAACCAGAAGCAACCCTCCGATAAGCACAAACAACACGTCCGTTTTCTGGAGGACATGTGCCGCCGTTGACCCCCCTCGGTCCCCTAAATTTGAGGAGGATCTACGAGACATTGGCTACGTTCTGTAAACAAGCTTTAGGCCCATCTACTACTGGTTAAAACCACTGGCAACCCAACTTTGCAGATGGTCATCGTGAGGTGGATCTAGCAGACCTCGCAAGGTTCATATTTCACTCGTGCACACTCTACCTTTTTATTTCTCCACTAAATTCGCACCAAGCTTTCCAGCGCAATTGATATGTATATCGACGCCTTTGCTTCACTTGCAACAAAGACTTTCTCGTCACGACCAGGACCAGAAGCACCACAAACAATGAACTGGCAAGCTCACTCAACTGGTACACACCCCTGAACTGCTGAAATATAGACCTAAAGTTCGAACTCCACAAGCAGCAAAATGAGTTGGGGTCCTAGGTGAGGGGGATTAAAGGAGGGG